TCTACATGAGAAGCTGACTGAGCAGTAGCCCAATAGTACCACACACTAGCATCACGTGGCAACAACTGTGACACAACGCTGCTGTACAGTAATATTAGGCTACTGTGCAGTAGTATCACAAAAAGACATTTGTTGGTGCTACTGCACAGTAACTCAGGTTACTGTCTAGTCATTTAGTATTTGCTTATACAAGCACTAAATGTGTGTGCAGTAATGACTGTGCAGTTACTGTCTCATGTAGACATGGCCCTTTTGTCCAAAGTGACTCATTATGTTTATTTTTAAGACAGCTGTGTAGAATCTCTGTTTTAAAATAGCTCCTGCCCTGCAGAACGAGAGTGCTGATGTTTATAGGAACTCAAGTGTTATCCAATAGACTTCACTCTGGAAGACAGAAACAAATAAGGGGAAATTTGAAAGGATCACATATGCCTGTGTATGGGTATGGACACGTGTGCAGAGCAGCAGGTAGTGCAAAGAGAAAAAGGTCAGTGCCACCACTACATGAGATAATCAGCTAAAGAAAAACCAAAAAACAGTCCAAAACACTTGTCTCTTCTCAGTTGTCTGGCTCTATGTTCTTTGTCAGTAGTGCATGCAGGGGTGATACATTAAGCAGAGCCTCAGCTTTGGGGTCTGTGATTAATATTCATGATGTTAAATCCCAACTATTTTTGTTATCTTTATTTTACGTATGTAAGCTCTCATACTTGTCTCATCCCCAGGGTATATCATTGCCTCACAGCCTGGCTATTGAGAGCTTTCAGCATTACTATAGCTCACCTTCAAATATTTGCAAATATAAAGCACAACAAAAATATGAAAATACAAGGAGATAGTAATTGCTTTAATAAGAGCCACAAAATATATTAAGAAACTGTATCATTACCACTAATGTTGAAATAGTATTACAGTCTTAGAAACAGTTCCATTCAGGATGAAAAGGAGTGAGCAAAATTTTCTAGATCAGTGCTTGAGTATGGTGGTGGTGATCTGTGTACTTCGGATGAGCTGAGGTCATGGCAGAGATATGGCTAAAGCCGGAAGAGAATATAACTGTGGTAGTTCTAGGCCAGTGCATTAGAGTGTTGACAGCACTATATTGATACCTAGGAAGGAGAAAGTGAAAGAAAGCTTTCAGTGTCACCTTATTTCCATTGGAAGTCAGCATCAGGTGAGACTAATTGGTAGCTCTGGAAGTCTGGCCACAAGATGATCAACCATTTTGACTAAATAATAGTAAAAATAGCCATAAGATGCAAAATCAAGGTAAATTCAGGAAAGGAATTGAAAACCTTGATGGTTTTCTTTGAAAGGTACTTCTGTCATAGAGACTCTTCTATTGGCCATAAAAGAGACAGTACAGGCTGTGGGAGTGCAAATACCAGGAGTACTAGCACTGCCACAGGGATCACCTGCATTTAATTTATCTCTAGGGTTTAGTGAATGATAGAACAATTCATTCTCCAATCCCATGTGATTTTATCTTTGATGCTGAATCTGGCACCAAAACTTTCAATTGCAATGGAAGTAAATTTTGTCATGAAAGCTCCTATTCATTGAAAACTCAACTGAAACCACCCAGCACCTGTCCCAGAGTGCATCAAAGATTCTAAAAATGTAACAGCAAAATGAAAAATCATCTTATTTACTCCAAATAAAGTTTTAAGTCTGGTTATAGAAGTTTCTTCCTCTTACTCATCACTAAAGCAACTACTTGGGGAAAAAAATGTTGAACCCACTGTTTGGATATGTCTCTTCTGAAGGCTATATTGGAAACAAGATAGTAACTAAGCTGTGCTAATCCATATTAAATCTGCCCATGCCATCAAAGCAGTATAAACTGTCTAGAGTGTAGATGGGAAGTCTAATAGCAACCTTGTAAAAAAGAAAAAACTTAAAACAGTGTGGGCAGGAACTGGATGGAATCTCCTTTTTCAGATGTACGGTGGAAAACATCCAGGTAAGTTAGAATACTGTATTTTCATTCTGCAATGCCCAGTGGTGACTTTCACTCAACTCTGCTTCTATCAATTAGTACAATTAGTAAACTAGCTTTCAAAATTGCACTTTCCGAAGATGCAACTCTTAATAACCAGATATCTGCTTATTTTATTTCAGGTAAGAGATCTGCATACATCATTACACAGTGGACGGGTCTACACAGGATGTTTACTGTATAGTTGACTAATTAACTGTGCAGCAAATCATAGAAATGTCTTAGCATTTATATGTGTGCCTGTATTAGGTAGGGCACATGAAACTTCTGTGTACAGCAGTATACATGTAGACACTGCCCCGGCTGACTGAGGCACAGGGTATTTCAGTATAGGGCGAGCCAGCAGGCAGCCCCTGCTCTGAAATACCCTTCTGTCTCAGCCACCCGCTCTGCAGTACATGGAACCCAGATGGAGCAGCCTGGGTGGGCAGGTTGATCCCCTGGGTCCCCTGCCAGCTCAGGCTGCTCTGGCTGGGCTCCATGTGCTGTGCATGAATAAACTCTGGAGCAATATGCACGTTCAAATGGCGCACCTGGGAGCAAAATGCCCTAGAGCAATAAGCTCCAGAGTTTATTCATGCACATTAATCATTAATGATTAGTTAATACATTAATGTGTAGATGCAGCAAGTGAGATACATTTGTTTTCCTCAAGAGAAGTTCCTCACTGTCAGGCATACCCGGATCCTCACTATTTTTAGGTTTCAAGGTTCCCTATGGGACAGTTTCCAATGTCTGAAATATATGTATATCTGAAAGTTCCCTTTTGTTCCAGAAGTTTTCTTATTAGACATTCGCAAGCATGTATGTAGCTGACAACGGTGCATTTATAAAAGATGGAGCACACTGTAGCAAAATTTGGACCATCCAAAAAAACTGGATCATTCAGACCTGACTAGAATGAATTCTGTGATCTGCGTAACAGCATGCACTGCCTTCTCAGTGTTGCAGTCTTCAGGGTCTTTGGTTAATCTCCATGTTTTATCTGCCGACGTCCCTTGCTTGGAGTTGTAGGGAAGTAGTCAGGGAAGAGCTCTCCTCATAGATTTGTCTCCCTCTGTGCCATATCTTCACTTGACCTCGCTCTTCACCAATCGTTTGTTATTGAATATTCACGGAGAGGTTTCTAAAGCTGACCTCTTTGTGGAAGTTAATTATAGGGTTGTGATATCTAGGGGGATGCTAGAGACAGTGGTTTATCCACTGCATACTTATAAATCATGTTTTATAAATACACCTCATTTCACTTACAATCAAGCGAGCTACAAATTGCGAGGGTCATGGGACTCCATGTGCAGGGTGAATGAGTTCATTAAGAGAAGCTTTCTTCTTTGACCCGTCATCATGTCCCACATCTGATGTGAATGAGAAAAGATGTTTTTAAACATTATACAGCACCTTTAGGGTAGTGTGCTGGGGTCAGCATGCCAGTGAACCAAATGATTCCTAAAGGATTGCTAAACAAAACAAAGCAATGGTCATCACTCATAGATAATGTGGAGTGTCACAGAGTGTGAAGGAGTGTGGCTAGTTCTGAATCTGCAGTTGCTTGGTTTCCCTTGTCTTATGTTCTGTTGGGAGGAGATCATGCAAACCTTCCACTTTTTTTTTTTTTTACAGGAGGTATAAACTATTCATGTTTGTAAAAGCTAAAATGGATGTGGTTTACAACTTGTACCTAGGAAAAATATAGCAAAGAGCAATAAATGTGCTCCTATTTGCTTGGGTCAAGAGTGGTTTGTGACCAGTAATATCTCTGATCGGAATTTGTGCAGCGTGTAATTGTAATAATAAAACTCCTGCATTATTTGAATTCAAGCCTTTCAGGAGGGGGAAGCCAACTGTTTGCTCTAAGAAATGATTGGCTTGGATGGCATCCAGACTTTTATTTATTTATTTCCATCTGGGGAAAAAGTACCTCTAAAGCCTGGCAGTCGTATTTCAAATCAACTTTCGAAGTGAGCGTGATTATGGCGTGTACTGGACCACACAGGCTTGAGAGGCTTTGTTCTCTTTGCCGGGCAGAAATGTGTGAGCTGTACAGTAAAGCAACTGGGGGCCGCTGCCTGATAGGAATATGCCTTCCCCTGTTTTCGACATCCGCTATCGCGCCCCTTACTCTCACGCCAGTGGGCTCTGGCCAGAGGGCAGCCTCGGGAGCGCGAGACCAAGGGAAGCAGGGAGGGGAACTGCATATTCAACTCGATTTAGCTGCGCCAGAGCAGCGGCTTCTTCTTTCTTCCGACACGACTCCTCTCTCGACCCTCGCCTTCTTCCAGCCCCCAGCCCTCCGCTGAGCTGGCGCTGGGAGCACTTGCCTGCCTGGCGCGCTCCAGCCGGAGCCAGCAGGCGGGAGCTAAAATGAGGCTGTTAAGGACGTTTTCCCTGCATCTCTGCTCCAGCGCCTGTGCCGCCCCCGCCCCCGGGCAGCAGCCAGGGAAGCGAGGCCACCTTCCCCGAGATGGCGGGGAGGGAGCCGGCTTCCCCGAGCGCCTCCGCGGCGGGGAGGGCCGAGCACGTCCACACGGTGTTCACTGCAGCCGGGCGGCGGGCACCGCTATCGCCGCAGGCGGAGGCAGGCGGCCCTTTGAAAGCGGAGAGCTGTGTGTTCCCTCGGAGCGCTACATCCCTTCATCTGCATGGCGGTGGGGATCTGAGAGCCCCGGGAGCCTGCGGGGGGGCGGGGTGCTTTAAAAGAAAAGGAAAAAACCCAAGAGGAAGCAGATCAAGTGCTGGATTTATTCCTCGCCCCTCCTTGATCTGCCTGTCTCCCAGGCTGCAAGTTTCTCCCCACTCGGTCCCAGCCAGCCCCAGCGGTGGGAACTGAGGCTGGAAGAACCTCCCAGACGCAGAAAAATAACGTTTTGGGGACGTGCTTGGGTTTCAGTAGCCGTGACGTGCGCAACGCAACCGCGGGCCCGCTCGCTGGAGCCGAGAGGCTCCCTCTCGCCCTCCCTTACACACTCATACACACACGCACAGCGGAGGCAGAGGGGGGAGCCGCGCGCACAGGCGCACACTGGAGCGCACTCCCACACACACGCACACACACACACGCCCGCGCGCTCCCTCGCTCTCCACCGCGCGCACACGGCTCCACTATCTCCCTTCCTGTCCTCCCTCCTCGCTCAGCATTCAAACAGCTTGCCGACATCATCAGCCAAGGATTTCTTTTCTTTTTTCTTTTTTTCCCCCTTTCCCTCCCCCGCCCCAGTCGCTGTCCACCCATCGGCACCTGAGGAGGAGGAGGAGAGGAAGAAGTATATCCAGATAAAGAATAACCAAACCAAACAACAACAACCCAACAACCCCCTCCAGCAATCTGCATTAGGGCAGTAGTTGTGCTCCTGGCTCCCGGCTCGCCTGGCATCGCTGTCCGCCGCCTGCTCGTGTTCAGACTTTGTTTCAAGTGTATTCAATCTTCTTCGCCCTTCCGACAGTTCCGTTTTGCCCCCTCCGCCACCCACCCTCCTGCGGGGTCGGGGCTGGGGCTTTTCCTGTCCCTCCGTGTGCTTGGATGTAGCGGATCCAGAGGCGACGCTGCTCCGGGCGTGCAAGCGGGCTTCTCTCTGCCGTTATTATTCTTTTTTTATTTTTTTATTTTTTTTTTTTTGCCTTTTATTTTTTCTTCCAATCTTGGTTTTGAACCTGAGCGGGGGAAAATGGGAACCGGTGCTGCCGACAGAAGGGGCATCTCTCCAGCACTGGTGTTGGGACGCGTGCCTGTGGCGCTAGTGGTTTAGAGAAACAGCCTGCCAGCTTTCGGAGTGGAAGGTAAGGGTGTCCGGGGGCATCTCTGCCTCTCCCGTTTCCAGGGATGATGTGAGTGGAGAGCTTGGAGCCGGGGCTGGCGGGGAGGAGGCGGCGGCGGAGGAGGACAGGCTGTTGCTGAAGCTCCAGACAGCGCTGCGCGGCTCAGCGTTGCCTGCCTGGTCCGAGCCCGCAGTTGAAAAGTTAAGAGAAGTCTGGGTGGCGGCAGGGCTGCTTCCCCGGGAGTCGTTTCCAGCGAGACCAAGAAAACCTGAGGTTTGTGCATGATTGGGGTAATTTTCTGGGGGGGGGGGAATCTTAGGTTAATAGGAAGTTAAAATAAGGGAAGTCAGTGGATCTTCTGTTGGGTGAAAAATAAGTGGAGTGATGGCGCCGTCTATGTTCGGCTAAACTACAGTGTCACCTAGAAAATCAGTTTGGGGAATATCCAAACTAAACGCCCGTTTGCTTTTCAGCTAAAGAGATTTCTCCCCAAACGGGAAACCTTAAACCTCGGTGGCCGCACTTGCAGACAGCTCCCCCCCCCGCCACCCCCATTCCCCAGGAAAGAAAGATCTTTTTAATCCGAGTGCCTAATCTGTGCAGCGATCGTATTTAGCAGTATTGTAGGGTAAATGAAATGCTGCCGGGTGATACATGCATCTGTAGAAACAGAGAGAGACTGGGGGGGGGGGGGG